CCTTCGTCTGGCAACTCTGCGCATGCGCACATCGGGAATAGGCTCCAGCTGTTCTTCTGCCTCACTGATGTCTGACTCTGAAGGCAGCTGATGACTGGCCTACAGCCCTAGCCCCCTCTCTGCCTCCGACACAGAGCCCTCATCAGAGCCTTCCCCAGACTCCAGGACTGGCCCATGTTCCACCCCAACCTCCTCACTGTCTGAATCTGCTGCCAGCTCCACTGGCCGCTGGTGGGCCACAACAGGTTCCTTCTGAGATGTTTCCTCCACCCCATTCCTTCTGTGTGCTGAGATATCTCTTGTCAAACCGTTGCTGCTGCTGCTTTTCCTCCCATCTCCCCCAAGGTTATTCTCACAGCCCATTACGGAACGGCAAAATAAACAGGAATTTGTAGGGGGAGATGTCCTCCCTTGTCAAACTGTACTGTACCCTTGCAAAACAAAGGAGAGTATCAAAGCTCTTAAAATGTATAGTGTAAAAACTCATTTCAGCGTCAAATGGCACTGCCAAATGGAGACGGCGCAAAGAAAAGGTGGCTCAAAAGGGTGGCAGAGGCAATAATGTACTGTAGCCTAGAGTGGGAGGTTTGGCCATCTCCCTGCCCCCCAAATCTGGCTAAAATACAGTGAAGCAAAGACATCGAACAAGCTTAGGGAGAAAGATGCGAAGGGAGCCAACCGGATCCATTCCCTTGTCCGTCTTGATTCCTTACCCCAGGCGGGATGTTTATTGTAGTTGCAATACTCGGCTCCTGAAGGTAAGGGGTAAAAATAATATCCACAGCCACAGTTCTTAACCATATGATGCTGGAAGCAGGAATGCAGACAGGCCTGCAAGAAGACGAGGTGAAATGGCAACGTTGGTGGGAGAGCAAAACAAAGGGGTGAGGGTGGGGTGAGTTCCTTTCATTGCGCTGAACTTGCAAGCTCAGATTCACTAGATTGCATGGGGAACATGAGTTAAGAGGAGCAGCGAGGGTTAAATCCAAGCGGGGAACACGCATATGGTACTGCTCTGGGAGTGAGCAGGGAAAAGATCTGTTGACAAGAGGATAAGGTGCTGTTCTGAGCGAGGCTTCCCAAGAGCAGGAAGCAAACTCCTTGTCCCGACAAAAAAAAACCTCTTATTAATTGACTGTGAATTCTGCTCCTTCACATCCAGCCAAGTCTTTCCAGGGAGGATTTACAGTCACAGACCTTATCTGGCTTGAAGAGCGCCAGGCTGAGATCTGCAGAACTTGGCAAGGAGTCTCGGAGAGTCACGAATCAATGAAGCAAACTAATGGTCTCCTGCAAACTCCACTCCCCTGTCGCTCCTCCCTTATTTCCTCTGGGAGGGGCCATTCATCCTCCACCTGTGCCTTACTCCCAAGTTGACCTCTGTTCCTTAGCCATTCCCTTTATCTGGCAGCTCTGCGCATGCGCATACTGGGAACAGGCTCCAGCTGTTCNCTGACAACCAATCAGAAGACAAGCTCAAGATCAAAGGCCAGAGAGGGCCTAAAACCAGGGACTTTCAGCATCTCAGCCCTTTTTTCTTCTCTTCTTCTCCACCCAACATTGAAGCATGTGATCACCTTCTCTATTCAGGACTCAAGCCATTGGAAAGATGGTTTAATGTTCACCATTAAAACCATCTTTCCAAGCAGCCTCCATGTCTCCAGTGTCTTTTTCCCCACTTGGAGCTGAACCCAGAAGGACGTTTCTTTCAACAATTATATTTCACACAAAAAAAGCCCAGAAAGTTGAACAGGGGAAGCAATTCCATATTGGGGAGGTGGAAATCTTCTCTCCCTCCCCCCCCCGTCCATCGGAGACGCAGATGTTAATTACCTCGTCCGGCATGGCTCCCCATCATATTGGCAAGAATAGATCAAGTTTTTGATGTGATCTTCATTTTGGGACATTTTGATAATGGACGGGATCTGTGACATAATATTCATGTAATGGAAACGGTACCACTCTTGGACAGCGTTCACTCCAGAAATGTACACCTTGTTGTAACAATTTCCACCTGTTCTGTTGCACTTTGGAGCAGAAAAAAAAAGGGGGGGAAAGGAGGAGGATAAATAGGCTGAGATTCTAAGAAACTGTAATACGGGATAATTCTTGACTTATGACCGCAACGGAACGCCGCCTTTCTGTTGCTATGTGGGTTTTGCCCCATTTTTACGACCTTTCTGGACACAGTTGTTCAGTGAAAGACTGCCATCGTTAAGTTAGTAACACGGTTGCTAAGTGAATCCGGCTTCCCCCCCATCCCCTCCTGGATTTTGTCTGTCAGAAGGGATGTCGTGACCCTGGGACACTGCAACCGTTGTAAATATGAGTCAGTTGCCAAGGGGCTGAATTTTGATCACATGGCCATGGGGATGCTGCAAGGTCAGCAGTCGTGAGTCGCTTTGTTCAGCGCTGTTGTAACTTTGAAATGGTCACTAAACAAACTGTCATAAGTCGAGGACTGCCTGTATAAGGTTTTGATAGATGCTACTGCTTTCTTGGACACTGCTTCCTACAATAGAGAGCCACAAATGGGACATAAGGGGCATTTGCCCTGTGATTAGTGGATTATTTGTTCCTCTCTGGCCTACCTTTTCTCCTACAGTAAATATTAGTATTATTTTATTATTATTATACTATAATTTTCCTCCTTTTAAATTACTTCTCTTGGTGCAAGCACAAGGCAGCGACGTTAACACTGCTGCCACTAATATGATATTAAAATTAAACGTACATGGTAAAGGTTCCCCTCGCACATCTGTGCTAGTCGTTTCCGACTCTAGGGGGCGGTGCTCANATTGGTATGATTGTTGTGTGTTTTTAAATTATGTATTGTTTTGTGTTGTTGTTAATTTGTCTGTATCCCCCTTCCCTGGTTTGAGTTGTGAGCCGTCCTGAGTCCCCCTTGGGGGGAAAAGGGCGGCAAACAAATGAAATAAACATTCAACATTCAACATTCAAGGTAGAGAAGGGAGGTTGGGAGGACGGAAGAAGTAGTAGGGTTGTTGTAAAAAAAGGTGGATGTACGGAGTGGCAGGAAAGCGACCCCGGTTATATTTTTAATTTATATAAATGGATTGTGATAAATGTTAAAGGATAACATATAAATATCAATAGCACTTATGAGAATGTATATTTGTGAATGTATATATGAGAAAGAGAAATAAAACTTTTTATTTTAAAAAAGCCTTGATGTTTTTGGTCTCCCTAAATTCTGAGTTTTTTTTTATTTTTGGCTCTTTAGTGGGGAACATTAAATTGTGCAAAAGAATCCTGTTCCTCCTTTTGCTTTTAATGTTTCCATTGTAGTTCCCCTGAAGCTGCCTCTCTTATTAATATCGCTGGTGTTTCTTTCCCGGAAAATAAGACAGGGGTCTTATTTTCTTTTGATCCCCGAAATAAGCGCTTGGCCTTATTTTCGGGGAGGTCTTATTATTTTTGAGGTGCAGGAGATGGCGAGCGTGGTCACCTCATGGCTGCTGCTGGGTTGCAATATTTTCAGGGAAGGGCTTATATTTTAGCGCATGCGCTCAAAAGCCCGATTGGGCTTATTATCCGGGGAGGTCTTATTTTGGGGGAAACTGGATAACAAGTGCATCTTATATTGTTTTAAGCTCACTTCGTATGGTTTGCTCTACTTTATTGTTTTACTGCCTTTAAAAAAAAAAAATTCTCACCAGTTCTACCGGGCATCTTTTGTCAATCGGCAAAAATAATACAGCGATGGTTTTCTCTCTCTAGGGCTTGTAAAAACAAAAGCTCTGAAAGGCTCAGGGGAGATTTCATGCGCGATCTGCACCGAGATGGGAAAATCTCTGTGACTCACCCTATCCTCTTTCTTCGGCTCTCCCTAGAGTAACATGTTAGTTCTTAAAACAGTGTGAGCGGCGTCTCATAAACTTGCTGTCTGCCTGTTTAAACACATCCTGTCTATCTTATAGCTGCTATGCTCAGAGAAACCTGTACCTGGAATTGTGATTTCCCCAAATGGCTGCCCAGGTCTGTAAGCGCTGCTTTCATTCTATCTGCCTTGCCCTCCAGATTTTTTTTTTCTCATTGCTTCTCACTTTCTCTGTTCTTTATCCTTAAGGTGACATGAGGTCATAGGATTCTGCTTCTCCAGTTACCCTTTCCTTGTTTAAAACCAGTCTTCAGTTTTACAGACACACACCCAGACACACATTTCCTCAAAAATAAGACTGGGTCATAATATTGTTTTGCTCCAAATTGACGCATTAGGGCTTATATTCCTATTAGGTCTTTTTTTCAGGGAAATATGGTACTAAATGCGTCCATTTGGTGGGCATCTCTCTAACTAACCAGAGCAACGGCAGGCAGCAGACGGGAGGGGAAGAGCAGATGTTACAGGCAGGACATCAGGCCCAGGCCAAGGCAGAGGGGAGTCAAAGCGGCTAGGGAGATGGCAAAGGCTTCCTAATGGCTGGGGCGGGAGGCAAGGAGCAATGTCCCCGGAATGAGCAATGGAAAATAAGACCTCCCCCAATAATAAGTCCAATCAGGCTTTTGAGCGCATGGGCTAAAATAAGCCCTCCCCTGAAAATAAGCCCTTCCCTAAAATATTTAAACACATGCGCAGCTGGTCCTCGCCATTTCCTGGGGGGGGGAGGTAAGAAGATGCCCCACATGCACCTGCCATCCACGTGGAATGGCCTCACAGAAGCTGCTCTCGAACACCCTAGTTACCGCGCCCCTTCTCTTAGTGGCAGCCGCAAAAAAGGGGCAGGCCAGCGACGCTAGGGCAGGCAAGAGTGTGCCAGAGACAGAACTTCCAGAGCTCTCTGGATCAGCTGATCTGCGGGCCGAGGTTAAGGGGCCTCCTGCACCTCAAAAATAATAAGACCCTCCCTGAAGATAAGGCCAAGCGCTTATTTGGGGAGTCAAAAGAAAATAAGACGCTTTCTTACTTTCGGGGAAACGCGGTGCCTTGTTTTCCCCCCAATGACCAATCAAATCCTGTAAAAAAGGAAGCACAGCAACCCCCAGCCACTGGCATTTTAATCTAATTTTGCATGATTTGGATTAATCTGCTTATTTTTGGGGGGGGGGATCTGTACATACCATAAACAATTCCTGGCTTGAAAGCTTTCCAGAACTTATCCGTTCCATTCTTGTTCAGGGTGAAGCAGTTCCCGTAGACAGGGTGGTGAAAATGTTCGTGATCGCTGTTGTGAAAAGACATCACAGAAGGAAAGGAGCATGAAAATAGGAGCCCAGAATAAATTTGAATTGATATATAGACATTTTTTCTGGCCATGGTGATTGATAACAGTAGACCAGTTTTTTTTCCAAATTGGGAAGGGTTTTATGTTTCATTTGCTCCAGTTGTAGTAAATGGGATAAAGTAGAGTTCCTCAACTTTTGCAGCATGGAGGGATGGGAGGAGGTGGTTCCACATGAGAGGGAGACAAGTTCACACATACCCACCTCCATTGGCACAAGTACCCACCACTCATGAATATGGAGCTATGCGGGAATGCTCGGCGCTTCTGCGGCCCAGTTCTGAACAGGCCACAGCCTGGTACTGGGTCACGGCCTGGGGGTTTAGATACCCCTGCTATAAACAGTCCTTTTTCATAGAAGATGGTCTCACCCCATAGATGCCCTGCAGCAATTCATAAGCTGGGCTAGGAAAGCCACTGGCCTCATTGTACCGCTAACTAGGGCATACAAAACCTTTGCAAGACCAATCCTCGAATACAGCTCGTCTGCCTGGAATCCACACTGTATATCGGACATTAACACGATTGAGGGAGTCCAGAGGTATTTTACGAGAAGAGTCCTCCGCTCCTCTACTCACAATAGAATCCCTTACACCACCAGGCTTGAAATTTTGGGCTTGGACAACCTGGAACTATGCCACCTACGGTCTGACCAAAGCATAGTACACAAAATTGTCTGCTACAACGTCCTACCTGTCCATGACTACTTCAGCTTCACTGCAATAATACTCGGGCATGGATACAATGGATACAAACTCAAGGTAAACTGCTCCAAACTTGATTGCAGAAAATATAACTTCAGCAACAGAGTGGTCAACATCTGGGGTGCTCTACCTGACTCAGTTGTTACATCCTCAAACCCCCACAGCTTCAACCTTAAACTGTGAACTGTGGACCTCAACCCATTCCTAAGAGGTCCGTAAAGGGGCATGCATAAGCGCACCAGCATTCCTACTGTCCCCATTCATTTGTACTCATTTTCCCTTGTCCATGTTTATACTTATACTTATTATCTTGTACATGTTTGACAAACTAAATTTAAAAAAATTAAAAAAAACCTGGAAGACAGAGCTAGCTAGAGGTTTGGTCAAAATCTTGCTTAGCACACAGATATAGCATATATTTCAAGATTTGTGGACGGAATGGAAAAGTCTTGGGTGCAATGCCAGGAGAGACTTAAAAAAAAACCAATTAGCAAACTTTTTTTTTATTTGCCACACTTCATGTGCAAATTGAGACCCCTCAATCTTGGCAACTTTAAGACACGTGGACCTCAACTCCCAGAATCCCCCAGCCAGCCCTCTGAGGAATGGGCTAGATCAGAATTGGCTGCAGTTTTCTGGGTTGAAATAAGCCACAG